TACCTTCTGCACAGCCTTTGGTGACACATTGGCCAGTCTGAGCTCCACCCTGAGAGGTCCAGGAGCAGCTACTGGTGGAGGTACGGAGTTGACCTCCACAACCAGGGCTTCCACAGAAGATCCAGAGTACCTACACTGGAAGAGAAGCCTGGACAACAGACGGTGACCTACTAGCATTTATCAGAGATTAACATTCACACCAGGGCTGGACTGGGACAAAAAAATATATATAATAATAATAATAATAATAATAATAAATATATATATAGGCCCTGGCATTTTTTGGTCCAGGCGGCCCATCACCACATACATCCCCATCTATACCAGTCAAAAGTTTGAACAGCAAGTTTTTTTATTAAAGAATTCTCTTCTGCTCACCAAGCCTGCATTTATTTGATCCAAAATACAGCAAAAGCAGTAATATAGTGTAATATTTACCATTTAAAATAACCGTTTCTATTTGAATTTCAAAACTTAAATTTATTCCTGCGATTTCAAAGCTGAATTTTTAGCATCATTACTCCAGTCACAGGATCCTTCAGAAATCATTCTGATTTGCTGCTCAAAAAACATTGTTGAAAACAATGGTAGAATTTCAGGTTTCTTTGATTAATAGAAAGTTCAGAAGAACAGAGTTTCTGAAATATAATTTGTAACATTAGGTCTCTATCGTCACTTTTGATCAATTTAAAGCATCCTTGCTAAATAAAAGTATTAATTTCTATCATTTCCCAAAAAAGCTGACGCCAAGCTTTTGAATGGTATATGTATTGTTGCAAAAGGTTAGATTCCTGCCACCGTTGCGAGAATAAATTAATTTATTCCTGTGATTTCAAAGCTATATTTTTAGCATCATTACTCCAGTCACAGGATCCTTCAGAAATCATTCTGATTTGCTGCTCAAAAAACATTGTTGAAAACAATGGTAGAATTTCAGGTTTCTTTGATTAATAGAAAGTTCAGAAGAACAGAGTTTCTGAAATATAATTTGTAACATTAGGTCTCTATCGTCACTTTTGATCAATTTAAAGCATCCTTGCTAAATAAAAGTATTAATTTCTATCATTTCCCAAAAAAGCTGACGCCAAGCTTTTGAATGGTATATGTATTGTTGCAAAAGGTTAGATTCCTGCCACCGTTGCGAGTCCCTATCAAGCACTTTACCAATCCCTTCTCCTCCTGCCTTGCTCTTTGGCCCGCATCACTCAGCGCAGAGCAAGCCTGTTCTTGATAAATCTCCTGTGAAAACATGGGAAAAGCCAATGAGGAAGAAGTTGGGGTGATGCGATCTTTATATAGGCGGAGCAAAACACTTCATCGCTCCATCTATAGTGCATTGTGATTGGATGTTTACGCTGTCAATACAGGAGACAAACCAATGGGCCACTGGCTGCTCGCAGTCCCGGCGTGATGGTTTAAGGCAAAAAAAAAACACACATTCTGTCGGCCCCTTAAGTGCGTCGGCCCACCGGGAAAATGCCCGGTATGCCCGATTACCAATCCAGCCCTGGTTCACACCAAGTCATAGATCACCTACTCAAAATGACTGTCCCTTGTGATAGAACCAAACGGTCCAATCCCCACTTCATACGAGGAGGTCATTCTGTTCTCATACACCACATATCCACGGTCCTCCTGTGAATAGCAACACTGTTGGCATCCAGTCCATCATAAGCAATGCAGAATAAAACCAGAAGCAGCTGCTCACCATCATGCTTGTGCCACATGCGGTCACAGGGAACTGGTATATAGCAAAGTAAGGTGTGGACTCCACAGGAGCGCAAGATGGGTCATTTCCACCCAGTAGATGAACCGAATCCAGACTCAGTCGAGGCAGAGTAACATCTCTAGCCACCACTACCACAAACTGACCATCTCTAATACACTGGACAGTCACTGGAACAGGGTACAAGAGCAGGTTAAGGCTGAGGATCAATTTAACATGAACAGAATAAGATTGAGAACGCTTACCTGCCCTCCCATAGTAACACTGCTGTCTCTTAAAGCAGCAGTTGATAGCTTCACACTCAGCACCACTGATCCCAGGTTGTCCACATTGGATCTGCTCATAATCAGCTACAGCACATTTATCAAGGAGCTCTGTCTGCGCCACTGGTTTCTGTAGCTGAAACTGCGGAGGATTGTGATGATTTTGGCTCACATTTTAAAAAAACCCACCAGTTCACTATCTCAACAAATTAGAATACTTCATAAGCTTTAATTACTGCCTCAATTCGGCGTGGCATGGAGGAGATTAGTTTGTGGCACTGCTGAGGTGGTATGGAAGTCCAGGTTTCTTTGACAGTGGCCTTCAGCTCATTTGCATTTTTTGGTCTCTTGTTTCTCATTTTCCTCTTGACAATACCCCATAGATTCTCTGTGGGGTTCAGGTCTGGTGAGTTTGCTGGCCAGTCAAGCACACCAACACCATGGTCATTTAACCAACTTTTGGTGCTTTTGGCAGTGTGGGCAGGTGCCAAATCCTGCTGGAAAATGAAATCAGCATCTACAAAAAGCTGGTCAGCAGAAGGAAGCATGAAGTGCTCCAAAATTTCTGGGTAAACGGGTGCAGTGACGTTGGTTTTCAAAAAACACAATAGACCAACACCAGCAGATTACATTGCACCCCAAATCATCACAGACTGTGGAAACGTAACACTGGACTTCAAGCAACTTGGGCTATGAGCTTCTCCACCCTTCCTCCAGACTCTAGGACCTTGGTTTCCAAATGAAATACAAAACGTGCTCTCATCTGAAAAGAGGACTTTGGACCACTGGGCAACAGTCCAGTTCTACTTCTCTTTATCCCAGGTAAGAGGCCTCTGACATTGTCTGTGGTTCAGGAGTGGCTTAGACATTCTAATTTATTGAGATGCACCTGTATACTTGCACTCTGCACCGCAAGTCTCCACGAGCGCATCTGGCAGTATGGATGAGGCTTGACGCACGCGCAACCTGTGTCGACTCGCGCCTGGCTCTGCGTTTAAAATTAATGTAAATTCAGTCTAACTGCTTGCTAATTTCACTTGGATGAAATGAAACATTCAGCACATTTTCCACTTGTTCTTAAAATCCCAAATACTTCAAATGAATAAATCAGCCTATGTAACATATGTAATACTTTAATAATTGACTTAAGAAATAGTTCATTTATAAACAATAAACAAATATTTTCTGTGAAATTCAGTAATTAAGTTAATTCTGTAAAAGTAGTTATACCATTATAATCTTGCCTGCTGAAAAAAAATAAAATAGAACCCCTCCCAAAACACAATAAAAATTTAATGGATTTCAGGGTTATAATGGGAATTGTATTGGTTTGAATGTAAAATATAATAGTGTCTACTAGTATTTGATGGATTCTATTGGTGGGATGTAATCTGGCAGATGTGAACCAATAGAACAACAGTAATTCCTTTTGGAATAATGCCCAAAACAAAAAGGAATATTGTAATGGTTTAATGGAAACTATAAAAATTTCTGTGATTGTTTCTATTGTTTTTTTCAGCAGGGTAATGATACCCATACTGTGCTGCACATTGACAATATTGAGCTGAAGCTTACTTTGCAAATTTAAAATCGCAAATCAAATCGCAATGTCAAAAAAAAAAATTAATTCACCATTTGATATTTTCCCCCAAATCGCACAGCCCTAATATAAAGGAGCAAACAAAGAGGTGTCTAAAACTTCCCCGGCAGACCCAAGAAGTGACTAACTTTTAAATCAAGGGTCACTACATTGTGCATAATTCAAAATAGCATACTAGTATGAATTGCTGCTATTTTGAATTTAGCCTTGGTTTTATCCTTCAACTAGCTGAATCCAATTGTTGACAATTCTAGATAGTTTTATTTGTAGAAACATTTTGGAATGAACAGGTCTGTATCTTCAGACTGGCTCAGAAGTTGATTTAACATTCTCATGATTAACATGAAGCTTTGAGTGATACTTGAACCCTGTCCCAGACATAGCTGCTTTATTCTTAAATGCTGCATAATTAAAATAGTCCTTTTATACGGTGCTTTTAAAATCTTGCACACACACACACTAAGATCAATATCCTTCGGTATAGCCCAAAATTGTATTTGCCAGAGTGCAAGTTAGCCCTTCACTGATGAAATAACACCTCAAATTTGTTGAAATGCCTAGTAATTTGTTTGTCAGAGAAGGATTGGCTCCACCAGGTTTCTCTCAGCTAAACATGCCAAGGAATTTTACCACCATCACCTTTGTTTGGAGTGGGACAAAAAAAAAATGCTTACACATAAAATTTAAAAAGCAACACTTTTGACCTGACAGCAAAGGCCAAGTATGGTAACCCATACTTGAAAAAGGTCCTCTGCATTTAACCCTTCCAAGTTACTGCATGCACATCAGAAGCAACAAGTAGTGAACACACCCAGAGCAAGTCCGACACCAACCATTACGCCACAACTGCCCAGATTGCAACTAAATCTTTCCCCATTTAAGTAGATAGTACTAGCAGAACTGACAAATGAATCAAATATGACTTACAACCATCATGAAATACTTGACCTGCAGTCATGGTCTAATGGTTAAAGTGTTGGACTTGTAACCCAAAGGTCATGGGCTCAAGTCTCAGTACCAGCAGGAATTGTACGTGGGAGTGAGTGTATAATGCCCGCTACCTTATATACCCACAGCTGAGGTTACCTTGAGCAAGACACCAAACCCTCAATTGCTCACCATGTGCACTTGGATGAGATCAATGCATGTTGGTTGGACAGGTAAAATTCCGTTAACCAGTCAGAAGTTACCGATTAAACCTTAATTTGGTACCTTATGCAGTGGCCCAGGTTAACTGTAGGATGGATAAGGGTCACAGCTTGTACAGAAGCCTGGACTCAGAATGCATGACCTTACAAAAGGTCGTGGAACTTGTTTAAGTGGGGAAAAAAGGAAGAAAAAAAAAAAAAAAAAAAAAAAAAAAGCATATAATACCAGCCTCTGTAAAGCCAAAACAATACCAATAGACAGATCTTTCCACAGTTTATTAAAAACACAAGATTTACATGACCAGAGTAACCGCTCCACTAGAAACCACAGTCTGCTCACTAGAGACATCCTTGATACGAGTGGCTCTCCCTGAAAAAGAAGTGTTAGAAGTGTGAATGCACTTACATAATCTGTTCCTATAGTCAAGAGAGCAATAACTCACGTTTCCTGGTGCAGCTTTGCTCACAAGAGCCAGAAGACGGATGGCACACCTCTGTACTGCAGTGGATGAAGATCTGACAGGGAAGAAAGGGGTTCAAGTCATAGAATTCACTAGTAAAATTAAAATGTTCAGGTAAAGGGGGGCATACAGTTTCCTGCAGAGGAGCCAGTGAGGCTGGATCTACAAATGTGAACATCTTCACAACAAAGCGCTTGTAGTGGGTTGGGAAATGAAGACCAGATGATCCAGTCACTGGAACCAGTGTGGTCAGGTAATGGTCATCCTGGTAAGGGCATCTGAAGATGAAAGGCGGTTAGAAAGTCTCCCAGCAGACTAACTGGATAAAGAATGGCATTACTCACCCATCGATCAGAAGGTCCCACTGGGGGAGACTGAGTGGACTGGGGGTTGATGTCGCCCAGCAGCGTCCCAGCATCAGGACAATGTTGGGGTCAGTCCTCCCCATAATGCGCACCTCAACATACACTGGCTCTCGCAGGACTTTTGTGACGGGATAATCAGCATCACTGTAGTAGGACGTGTAGGCCTCATCCCCTGAGGAACAACACTGGGGTTTAAACCGAAACTGCTGGAGTTTGAGATGCTTTAGGATGACAGGACAATACCTTACCTTCTGCACAGCCTTTGGTGACACATTGGCCATTGGCCAGTCTGAGCTCAACCCTGAGAGGTCCAGGAGCAGCTACTGGTGGAGGTGGAGGAACAGAGTTGACCTCCACAACCAGAGCTTCCACAGAAGTTCCAGAGTACCTACACTGGAAGAGAAACCTGGAGAACAGATGGTGAGCTAGTAGCATTTATCAGAGATTAACAGTCACACCAAGTCATAGGTCACTTACTCAAAATGACTGTCCCTTGTGATGGAACCAAACGGTCCAATCCCCACTTCATACGAGGAGGTCATTCTGTTTTCATACACCACATATCCACGGTCCTCCTGTGAATAGCAACACTGTTGGCATCCAGTCCATCATAAGCAACGCAGAATAAAGCCAGAAGCAGCTGCTCACCATCATGCTTGTGCCACATGCGGTCACAGGGAACTGGTATATAGCAAAGTAAGGTGTGGACTCCACAGGAGCGCAAGGCGGGTGATTTCCACCCAGTAGACGAACCGAATCCAGACTCAGTCGAGGCAGAGTGACGTCTCTAGACACCACTACCACAAACTGACCATCTCTAATACACTGGACAGTCACTGGAACAAAGTACAAGGGCAGGTTAATTCTGAGAATCAGTTTAACAGGAACCGAATAAAATTGAGAACACTTACCTGCCCTCCCATAGTAACACTGCTGTCTCTTAAAGCAGCAGTTGATAGCTTCACACTCAGCAGCACTGATCCCAGGTTGTCCACATTGGATCTGCTCATAATCAGCTACAGCACATTTATCAAGGAGCTCTGTCTGCACCACTGGCTTCTGAAGCTGAAACTGCGGAGGATCCCGCTGGTTAGTTTGTTGTTGAACTGGCTGCTGAAACCGCTGGTCAGTTTGCTGAATCATCAGAGCTTGAGGGTTCTGGAGCAGATTACTCCACTTTGGAACAGCATGACAGAATGCACAAACTGCCAAAATCTGAAACAAACACCAACTTACAGCCATTGTTCAACAGCTAGTCACAATGTTGAGATGTTGCCCTTTGGTCTTTTTTGTACTCTACAGATTTCAGCTAATTAACGATAGTCCCTCCCTCTTCATTAACACTCATGGTTTTCCAGACTTGCAGAAACGGGAGCTTATGCAACTGAGTGATTCTCAATGGATCTCAAGATTCAATTCTTATTTTTCCAATTTTGAACATAAATGCACAAACTTAATTCATAATATCTTACTAATCTGATTGTAATTGGTTCTCAAATTCTGTTAACATGGTGTTTCTTGATTCCAATGTCATATTGACAACAAATAAGAAAGGTTCAAGCCCAAGTTAGTTACTGGAACCTGCCAAAAGTAGATGTTCATCTTTGGTGCCGTTGTCCTTACCACTCCCTGCAGACAAGTGTGCTCTTACAAATATGATGAAAATACTATTTTAAGCATTAAATGATTTTAAGTATATGGAAGCTTATTTCCACAACAGAATAAAAAAAAAATGAAAAAGGTTATTTGGACCATTTATGTCACGAATGATCTCACAGTTCGCGAAGATCTCAACAATGCTGACTTTTTTTCGCCAGATTTACCTTTTTGGTTCCTTGGGGGAAATAAGCTTCCATAGAAGTACGTCAAGCAAGTTTATTGAAGCCACTGGAAAATACATAGTTAAAGAGAAACCCTGACAGCCTTTTATTCTTTACAATCAGACCTCAAACTTTCTTTAATAAAATATGACTGCAAAAAAAAAAAGAAAAAGAAAAGAGCAATCTGAGTTAACATGACTGAATCAGTTGACACTTAATGGACAAGTATAATAGATGAAGATATTTAGTAAATGTCCTACCGTAAATATATCAAAACTTAATGTTTGATTAGTAATATGCATTGCTAAGAACTTCATTTGAACAACTTTAAAGATGATTTTCTCAATATTTAGATTTTTTTGCACCCTCAGATTCCAGATTTTCAAATATTGTCCGATCCTAACAAACCACACATCAATGGAAAGATTATTTATTCAGCTTTCAGATGATGCATACATCTCAATTTCAAAAAAAGTGACCCTTATGACTGGTTTTGTGCTCCAGGGTCACATTTGTAGAAATGTAGCATCACATCCAATTACTTTTTCATTGGAGGAAGTGTTATCCAGCTAACAGGGAATGTGCTGATGAGGTTATGAACAATCGTTCAAAAGTTATTTGGTCTTTAATAATGCTCTCAAAACGTTGGCACAAAAACATTATTCATGCATTGATCATGGAATTTTTCTGAAACATTTTAGCTGGACGTTCGTCTAACATTTTTTAAAAATGTTACTACTTGTTTCACGATGTTCAGAGAACATTCAAAAGTAACATTTCCATCAAATGATCAAATGTTCCCTTAACATTCTCATAACCACGAAAAAACATTTTAAAACAACTGGACGTCCAGTGAACATTCAAAAATAACATTTTGTGCCATAGAATGGAAAACTGTATTTACCTTGGCATAGTTGAAACACTACCTTGGCAGTGTTGCCAGATATTGCTATTAAAACAAACACAAACTGATAAACAAATACAAATAAACTCTGGTTTTGTGCTCCAGGGTCACATTTGTAGAAATGTAGCATCACATCCAATTACTTTTTCATTGGAGGAAGTGTTATCCAGCTAACAGGGAATGTGCTGATGAGGTTATGAACAATCGTTCAAAAGTTATTTGGTCTTTAATAATGCTCTCAAAACGTTGGCACAAAAACATTATTCATGCATTGATCATGGAATTTTTCTGAAACATTTTAGCTGGACGTTCGTCTAACATTTTTTAAAAATGTTACTACTTGTTTCACGATGTTCAGAGAACATTCAAAAGTAACATTTCCATCAAATGATCAAATGTTCCCTTAACATTCTCATAACCACGAAAAAACATTTTAAAACTGGACGTCCAGTGAACATTCAAAAATAACATTTTGTGCCATAGAATGGAAAACTGTATTTACCTTGGCATAGTTGAAACACTACCTTGGCAGTGTTGCCAGATATTGCTATTAAAACAAACACAAACTGATAAACAAATACAAATAAACTGAAATTATTTCAAATCGTTTGCAATTAAGATAAGATAAAGATATCGCTGACCCTAAACTGCAACGTCCTACTTTAATAACTTTCTAAAGTGTCAAGTGGAAAAGACAAGTCCAAAAACGATTATAACAGCTGGATCTGGCAACACAGAGGCTTCACTCACGACTCTCTCAAGCCTCGTTCACTCCGCCAGTGTCTCGCAGCGATCACGGATGCTAAACATTCTTGCAAAATCTGTCTGATACAGGCTCAAACATATAAGGTTGGATGCCTAATCTCTGCATCGTTCACGCCGGACAGTAGAGATCTGTTTGCTGTGTGAGCTACTGAAATGAGCCAATCAGAGCAGAGCTCAACATTATTATTCATGACCCTTCCAAATAAGGTAATAACAGACCATTTCATTCTAGGGACAAATCCTAGGGTTGTAAATGCACATGTAAAACAGTTTCTGGAGAATTTTTGTCTTTCCCTAAGCCACATACCTTCTATGTAGATATGATTTAAAATATAAAGTATCAATGCACTCTATGGCACCTTTAACTGGGACTATGAACTCATATTTTAGCCAGAAGCAATAGTTTGACGTTAAAAACATCTTAATGCTTCAGCTTTTGTCTTCTCCAGATGTTAACTGATGGACTGGAGTGCTGTGGATTATTGTGATGTTTTATCAGCTGTTTGGACTCTCATTCTGACGGCACCCATTCACTGCAGAGCATCCATTGCTGAGACACTGATACAATGCTACATTTCTACAAACCTGATGAAGAAACAAACTCATCCTGATCTCAGATGACCTGAGGGTAAACACATTTTCAGCGAATCTTCATTTTCACAACTGCTTTATTGAACGCGTTAGATCTTTTCTCGTCCCATGCAGAGGTCAGGAGTCTCAAAGCCTCGGCCGTGCCGTTCTTTGCTCACCTCCTAACCAAGCGGTGCAGTTGGGTTTGGCGGGTGGGCTGTGGATTCGGAAGCTCTTGGTAGCCAGAGCATCGCAGTACTTGGGTTTCTCCACCAGCGAGCGGATCTCAGACAGCAGTCGGTGCAGGAACCCGGGAAGCATGGCCGTACCGCCGATTATCACCACGTTCTCCGACAGAACCTTGCGAGTGTCAATGGGACACTGGTGAGGAACAAACACACAATGAACAAGGTGCATGCTGGGAAAACGGAGGACTATAGATGTAACGGTATGAAAATTTCTCATCACGATTATAGTGACCAAAATGATTACGGTATTGTTAAAATGTGCTGGACACTTAAATCATTTCACCAATTTTTGTACTTAAAATCAACAATAAATAAAATTAATTTCTGTTTGCATAAACACTAAAACTATAACATTACCAATGATGTCCGGATTTTAAATGACAACAGTTTATCTAATTACGTATGAAACCTCACATTTCAGCCTTTAAATAAATAAAAGGGTCAAAATGATAACTGATTAATAAATGATTATATGTATTTTATCAGCTCCATAAATAATTCTAGATACCTTATGCGAATTGTTTAAACGTGCAGAATCCACATAAGCTTGTTTTTCATCAACCGGTCATAAATTACAGCAGGGCATGCAAATTAACTCAGTTTTAGTCTAGACAGAAGCTGCTCAGACTGAATGTGAATATAAGTCTCCACTCTGTGACAGCAGGTGGCGCTGATGGAGCAGCAGAATTACAGCAGTTTCTCGTAAAGAACACTAGTTTATTAAATATTACACATGGAGCGAAGATGAAAACAAAATGCCATCGAATCTTTTCTGAAGACCGTCAGAACCTTCAGAGGTACATATAATTAATTCATTCATATATTCATTTGTATAATTCCCTTAGCACTCTTTTAAAACCTCGCAGCTTTCTGCCGTGTTTTCACACAAATCGAAACTAGCTAGAATAGGCCGTGGGTGTTAAAATAAAAATAAATATTAAATAAATTTAGCTTTGATTATATAAGCAAACCAAACTAATTAGTGATGCATGCAATATTAGCTGAAACGGTTTTGTAAGCGACTGTGGATAAATGTCAATAAAACAGCTTTATAGAGAGATTAATAATGTCATATTTACCTCAAGAAAAACATTCAATGACCATAAACTTGATAGTCGGCAAGAAAAAATAACTCTAGGAGGAACATTATGATAAATATATCCACTAAAATTACATATTAATTATATTTGTTACTGAACCTTTTGTCTTTATTATTTAATGCATTTTTACACGAATCTGTCATGAAGACAAGTTTTTTTTTACAGCCACCATTAAAATGTTTATATTTCAACAAGGAATTATTAGCTGATATAAAAACTGCCTTATGTGCAATTTAGATGTCGATATACATATTCATACATTTTATGTTTGAATGAATCTGTCATTAAAACTGTTCAAATGCTTATATTTCAACAACGAATTGGAGTTGGGCCGATACCGATATGGTGGCCGATATATCGTGCATCCCTAGTAGAAACAAAATAGAGCTTGCAGATTTTGGGTCCCGTGACGTCATCGCAACATGCATTCAGTCAAAGAAAGGTTTCTCAGTTCCAAAAATTTAATGAACAGCCTCGCGTTCTCTTCAGTGAAGAAAGCAGTTTAATTCATTGCAGACTTCTGTTAAAGCTACAGATATCAGAACAAACGCCACTGATGTGGAAACCAGGAAAAACATTGTTCAATAAACACAAATCCCCACCGTTCACCGTGGCTTTAACAGTAAAACTATAGGAACAACTTGCGGCAGAAATGCTCTGATGCTTTCGAGTGCCTGACACTTTTCCCAGCACTTCAAAGCTTTAGTATTACCGAATTTGAAAGTTATTTTTAATGTGATGACATTATTTGTTCATCCTTCATAGGTTGCCCCATTTATAAAACGAAAAGTTTCATAATGTAGGAAAGCAAACACTTATTTAAAGGGGTCACAGGATGCCCATTTTCCACAAGTTGATATGATTCTTTAGGGTCTTAATGAAAAGTCTGTAACATAGTTAGGTTAAAATTTCATTGCAGACTTCTGTTAAAGCTACAGATATCAGAACAAACGCCACTGATGTGGAAACCAGGAAAAACATTGTTCAATAAACACAAATCCCCACCGTTCACCGTGGCTTTAACAGTAAAACTATAGGAACAACTTGCGGCAGAAATGCTCTGATGCTTTCGAGTGCCTGACACTTTTCCCAGCACTTCAAAGCTTTAGTATTACCGAATTTGAAAGTTATTTTTAATGTGATGACATTATTTGTTCATCCTTCATAGGTTGCCCCATTTATAAAACGAAAAGTTTCATAATGTAGGAAAGCAAACACTTATTTAAAGGGGTCACAGGATGCCCATTTTCCACAAGTTGATATGATTCTTTAGGGTCTTAATGAAAAGTCTGTAACATAGTTTGGTTAAAATTTCTCAATGGTAGTTTAAAAACACCTTTTTTCCCCTGTCATAAACAGCTCTTTTCAGCGCCAAGCCGTTTTGTAGCATGTCGCTTTAAATGTTAATGAGCTCTGCTGACTCCGCCCCTCTCTTCCAGCTGCTCTCCTAGAGACTGTTTACTTTAGACGCATTCATCTGAAACTTGCTAATTAGCACATTATTAGGAAAGGTGATTTGCAAAGATTTGTTAAAAACCTTACAGTCACTTCTTCTGTAGATGAGGCTGGATCACGAATGATTCGCGCGAACATAAACGCATTTATGTAGATCGAGGGCGCATTCCCTTCAGAAACAATGTAATCGGCTGGGTGAATTTTTATCATTATAGGGTGGTTGTGTACACACACAGCCAACACACATTTCAGTTCAAACAAAGTGCATGTAGCATCCTATGACCCCTTTATTTAAAAATGAATGTGATTTTCTCACCTTTTTGATCAAAATTATGCATTTTTTATGAAACGTACCTATATTCAAGTGCTGATAAAAAAAGAATGCTTTAAGCTAGAATAAAACTGATTTTTTTTGGTTTAAAAGTAGAGGCTCTGATCTTTATTTTGGTATATTGCATATTCAAATATCCATACAGCAAAATATACTGGAGGCCATCAAATTTGAGTGAAAATCATCAAAATCGCTGGCAACTTTAAAAAAAAATGCTGGCGGGGAAAGGGTTAAATTATCAACAAAATAATAATTGCTGTTAATAGTGTTCATCGTCTCCTTGATTACGTCTTTAATTGATTTTCCGTACATTTCTGCCATACAGTGGTGTGAAAAAGTGTTGGCCCCCTTCCTGTTTTTTAAATTGTTTGCATATTTGTCACATTTAAAAGATTCAGATCATCAAACAAATTTTAATATTACACAAAGATAATGCAAGTAAATACAAAATGCAGTTTTTAAATGATTATTTATTTTATTAAGGGAAAAAAAGCAGTCCAAACCTGCCTGGCCCTACGTGAAAAAGTAATTGCCCCTAAATCTAATAACTGGTTGTGCCACGCTTTGCAGCAACAACTGCAATCAAGTGTTTATGATAACTGGCAATGAGTCTTTCACGTCGCTGTGGAGGAATTTTGGCCCACTCTTCTTTGCAGAATTGTTTTAATTCAGCCACATTGGAGGGTTTTCGAGCATGAATGGACTGTTTAAGCATCTCAATCGGATTTCTTGATTCAACAGGTCTGGCAGTAATCAGGCCTGGGTGTGGCTAGTGAAATTTAACTCAGCTTTCTAAAATAATGTGGTTAATTGCAGTTCTTTCATGATTTAACAGGAGGGGGCAATTAATTTTTCACGTAGGGCCACGTAGGTTTGGACAGCTTTTTTCCCTTGATAAATGGAATCATCATTTAAAAACTGCATTTTGTATTTACTTGCATTATCTTTGTGTAATATTTAAATTTGTTTGATGATCTGAAACATTAAAGTGTGAAAAACATGCAAAAAAACAAGAAATCAGGAAGGGGGCCAACACTTTTTCACACCACTGTATGTACATTAACTGACAGTCACCACTGATAAACTACCACTAAATATTGTAGAAACTTAATTTGCTGTAAAGTTGCTTTGCACCGATTTGTATCGTGAAAAGCGCTGTACAAATAAACTTGAATTTAATTGAACAGTAGATGGCTGCAGAGAAGTACTTAGTTATAGGCATATTAGCCATTTCCACTCCTAATATAAATTTTTTGTATTTATTAAATTATATTTAGACATTATGAATGACAGTAATATTTCTGTTATTTCTATTCGCTGGTGCCCTACAGTGGCTCTCGAAGACAGAAAAGTCATAATGTTAGAAGAATGTTGTCTGTGGTATATTTCCGCTGAAAAACAATAAGAAATGCAGCAAATATCACCACAAATTTTGAGAAAAAAGGCGCAGCACGGTCATTTTAAGACGCAAAAATCAGAAACAAGAAATCCTGGTTTAATATGCTTATCAGTGGCGACCTCATCCTCATCCTTTAATAAAAAATTCAATTGAACTGAATATTTTGTACCTTCACCAAAGTGTCCAGCAGCAGCGTGGCGATGGATTTCTCCTCGTTATCCTGCTCGAACAACATCTCGGCCACAGAGTCTCTGGAAAACAGCAGAGCACGTTTCAGTAAGAAGCACAGAACGTGGGTCAGATTAATAAACAAAACCCCGTCCGTAAGAGAGAGCGGCCCGGTCAGCAGGAGGAAGCATCGGAGACAATAAACATCTTAAAATCTGTGGATAAAAGCTTGAGATTAATAATGTCAAGACATCCAATGGCCATAAACTTGATAGTCAGCTAGAAAAAATAACTCTAGGAGGAACATTATGATAAATATATCCACTGATATGTGACTGCGAGGTATTCGAGTTGGGGAAAAAGCAGATCATCGCGTCTGGTTTGAAGGGTTTTTACCTGATGGATCCCTTGATATGCAGAATCTTCCGGCCATCCAACGGATATTCCACATCTGGGGGAGGAGCCGGTCTCTAATGGACCAATCAGAGCAACCGTGAATATTTACTCAGTTAACATACTGAATTATTAATCTGAGATTAATCTTAAACATGTTATTGGTAAAACTATACATATATCTAATAAGATAACAAAAATCTATGACGTATGACGTATGAAAAAAAATATCACAGATGAGCGAAACTCCATTTGTGCAAACATTAAAAAAAACACTGGAGAAAATGCTACATGTTACACAGTTTGTACAGCGTGGGATAATTTTTATATTATTTAATTAGTGCATTGTGCGATTTAGATTAAGTTGAATTCAGAAAGTGTTTATTTTATTCCTCTGATAATGTTTATGCTTCATTAAATAAAGTGTTGCTGGAAAATTTATTTTTACTTTATTATTTTTTTAATGGCATGTCGTACAATTAACAGAAAACTATATAAAACATTTAATTCTAAATTACACTACCAAATTTGTTTTTCTCACCGAGGCTGCTTTTATTTGATCAAAAATACAGTATAAATTGTGAAATATTATTCTAATGTAAAACAGCTGTTTTCTCTGTGAATCTCTGTTAAACTGTAATGTATTTCTGTGATGCGCAGCTGTATTTTCAGCATCATTCCTCCAGTCTTCAGTGTCACATGATCTTCAGAAATCAGTATAATATGCTGATTTGTTGCTTAATTATCGGTTATTATTGTGAATATTTGTTTTCTTTCCCGATATTTCTAGCAACTGATCATCTGAATCGACTGATGGCTCTAACAGTCGCGTGTTCTCTGACCTCAGCAGATCCGTCCATGTTAAATTTGGCCTCCTGGATCTTCATGCCCCTCTGCAGGTCACTAACGAAACACACTCGCACTAAATACAGACACACCGACAACACAGTTAGCTGTTCAAGTCAACATGAAACAGTGTTCGCAATTTTACAGACGAGTCAAGAGTAATGTAGAGCGAGACATGATTTTATGCATGAGGAGGCGTGTCTACATGACGTACCTTTGATATCCTCCACGACATCCTCTGGAACAGAACCTGTGACGAAGACCAATAGATAATCAAAGCCTGATGGATCAAATATAATACAAAGTGTGTGAAGCGTCGGTCTTACTGATGACGGTGGGCAGACTGAGGCCGGTGCCAGAGTCGGTGTCTAGCGTGCATTGCTCACTCAGCAGACTGTGCAGCTCCCTGCAGACGAACAAGAGCACTGAGAACACAAGCATCGTGATCGGCACACAGCCTCTCTTTTATCTGATGCTCCACACATACCTATGAATGGCTTTTCCTCCCATCGGCAGAGCTTCCCATGCAGACAGGATCGGAACGCCTTCATAGATCTAGTGCACTGTTAAAGTCATCTAAACACTTCAATACACAGATAATATTGTGTGTGAACACAACAGGTGAAGACAAACATGCTTTCCTTTAGAATAACATCACTCATCAATCATTCAGACCAGGAATAAGAATTAAAGGAATAGTTGTAGCACTCAGCAATGGGTGCCGTCAGAATGAGAGTCCAAACAGCTGATAAAAACATCACAATAATTAACAGTTAACATCTGGAGAAGAGAAAAGCTGAAACAAATCCAGCATTAAGATGCTTTTAATGTCTAAAATACAAGTTCATAATCCATAATAACGCTTCCTCCAGTGAAAGAGTGCATCTGCTGTTGTCTCTCACATCAACATCCAGCCACATATGTGTTTAGAGCTGTTTAAACGCTGCTTGATCTGTGCAGATTTCTCTCCTGATTCACACCAGAACACTGACTCACTGGAGGAAGCGTTATTACAGCTAAAGGGAATGTTCTCTCAACGTTATGAACAAATGTTCTTCCAGCAACATTAACAGAACGCTCATTCGAAGTTATCTAGCCTGTAATTGTGGACTTAAAATGTTATCTACACATTGTTTATGCCACCTTTTTTTTACTAAAACCTTTTATTTGGACGTTCATCTAAAGTTTTCTTTTTTAAATGTTTAAATTTAAATTTTTACACTTGTTTGAGAGAACATTCAAAAGTAACGTTCCCATAATGTTTGGAAAATTATACAAATGGAATGCTCGCTTAATGTTTGTATAACAGAAAAAAAACCCCGGACATTTTGAACATTCAGTAAACATCCAGAAATAGCATTTTCATAACATAATAGGAACGTCAGCAAAATGTTCTTAGAACATGTTTTTGTTTAACTGGTATTACGGACTCATATTTTAGTTAAAACGTCTTGATGGATTTGTGTCTTCTCCAGATGTTAACTGATGGACTGGAGTGCTGTGG